TGGCAGCAAGCTGTGGTGTAGACCAGGAAAACCCATTTGAGTTCAATGAGGACTCTAATTGGAAATATTTACATCCATTCATTGATGTCTTCCAGCATTGCAGTGTGCAGGTTCCTAAAGACCTATACCTCAAGTATTTAGAGGAGGGCCTTCTAGATCAAAGCCACACCATTGGTGAGCTATTATTTTCAAATGCCATATCAAAACTTGATTGTTTCACTTTTATATAGGCCAGCCCCATGATTTAAAAGATCTGGAAATTTTTTTGAGAAGTAATGCTTCACATGGCCTAATACACCCTCACAATATCAGTAAGATATCTCAGCAACTCATAATTCATCTCTCACAAAATATTTTCTGCAGAGAAGAGTCCAACAGTCAATTTTTATTGCATTGGCCACCCTCTCAAAGCATTTCCCATCATTTGTGCAAAGTTACCTCAGAGCTGGATAGTGTCATCAACATCACTTGTGTGTCAACAATTTTTATTTTCCTTTAAACAGCACTGATTCCATTCTTCAGACCATATTAGCTGTACAAACTGTCCTTGCTATCCCTAATTATAAAACAACAGTTGGCCCTGATCAGTTCCACGAACTTACTCTGAATCAGATTTTGGAACCAACTGTTGATCATAGTGGTGGTCATCCTGCTAAGGTACATTGATCTTGGTTTCTACAACATATGGTATATTTATAGTATTTGAATTTTGTTTTCTAGAGGCATTGAGATGGACCGGAGGCCTAGGAATTCAAAATGTACCCACAAAAGTGTAAAGAACTCTGCGCCTCAAATCAGGACATAGGTCATTGTATCTAATGAGCGTGATGGTGTGCTGAGTGATGGTGATGGTGACAATGATGATCATTATAATGATGGTGATGCAGACCAGTATGGGGATGCCAAGGCTGCTCTGGAAACACCATGGAGGTCGAGTCTCCCCAAGTATGTCATGGAGGATCTTTCAACAAGAGGTGTTGTTGCTAGGCTTGAGCAAGCTCTTCAGCAAGATGTTGCAGGAGCAAGTCTCTTGGATCACTTGCCATTCATGTAAGTTCTCCTTCCATCACACCTTCCCAGCCAGTTAACTTTTCCCCTAGAACTGAATCACCTGAAGTTCAAGTTGTGATAGACTCTGAGAGAAAATTGAGAGAGATGGTAAACAAAGACCTGGCAGAAAAGACTGTGTTAATCATCTGGAGAGCCAAGGGTGAGAGTGG